ACCTCCTGAGATCCAGACAATCCCCACCCTATTGGCCTTCCGAAAAGCGGTGAAGACCTGGCTTTTCCGGCAGGCCTGGGGCCATTGATCTCGCTGTTGCGATCTAGTGAGATCTGGCCATGAATGGTGTGAATGGGTTTTAATTGTTTTTAATGTTTTAATTTTTAATGTTTTTATATATGGTTTTTAAATGCATTGTAAGCCGCCTTGAGTCTTCAGAGAAAAGCAGCATACAAGTTGAACAAATAAATAAATTGAACAAATAAATATAGGAGGGGCACCCATGTTTTAAATCAAATCACTTAGTCAATGGTATTGATCTTTTGTGTTGGAAAAACTATTAGGAAAATGAGCATGCACTTGCGCTCTTCTGCGCATGTGCAGAAGCATTTTGATGATGTTGGGTCGGTGGGTGGAGCCTCTCACCGGTTTTATTACTGGTTCTATAGAACTGGTGCAAACCAGGGGCAACCCACCACTGGACCTCTTTAATGATCAAGAAGATCCCAAAATGTTCCTTAAACAAAATCCCTCGCATTCTAATCTTGAACATAACTGCAAACATTTACTGTCTTGGAGGGAGGGAGGGGGAGAGAGACAGAGATTTTCTCAAGGATTTTGTTTTAATATTTTAGGTAGGAAAATGGGTACCTTAAGGTTTTGACTTTATTCTACTGGACAGGTTATAAATTTTATAACCTGTCCTATACATACATACATACATACATACATACATACATACATACATACATGCATACCAGTGATGGGTTGCCCCTGTTCGCACCAGTTCTATAGAACCAGTAGTAAAACCGGTGGGAGGCTCCGCCCACCGACCTCGATGTCATCAAAATGCTTCTGCGCATGCGCAGAAGAGCGCACGTGTGTGCTCATTTTCCTAATAGTTTTTCCAACACAAAAGATCAATACCATTGACTAAATGATTTCTTTTAAAACATGGGTGCCCCTCCTATATTTATTTGTTCAATTTATTTATTTGTTCAACTTGCATGCACAGCCCCATTGCAAACCGGTAGTAAAGGTAAGTAGAACCCACTCCTGATACATACAGACAGACAGACAAATATATCTCACTCTCAAGTCACAATTGACATATAAATTACTAAATGCGAGCACACAGATGCTAGATGCCTATCATGCATACCTAAAACTAACTTCAATGACTGGAATCTATGAAGAAAAAGATACCTCATAAAAACGAATTGAATATGACAACAATTTTGGTGAGTGTCCATATGACTAACATTTCTCTGCCTAGAATGCATATAGATATCTTGTCCTACATCAAGTTCTTAACTCACTTCAGGAGCTGAGGATGCCAGGTGCTTGGTAATCACACAGGTAAGCAAGGGAGTTTCCAAATATAATCTCTATTGAACTTGGCATCCATTGCGATATCTGAATACAATCTTCCTATATTACTAATATTCATTAGTATTACTACAACCATTTTTCCGCCACTCCCCACAGTCAGGAGTGGTGTCTCCCATATGTAGGGAAAACATTCATCTCTTTTTTCAGTTAAGTTCTCTCTTGCATTCCATGCCAATGACTGCTATCACTGACCAAAGTCTGTTGTGCACCTTTTGCTTTCCTGATGCTTAGTTTAAATGCAACAATGCAAAGGGTGATTTCTAACAGTCTCCAATTGAAAGGGGGCTTTTCAGGAAGCTGCTGCTGTTTGCTCATGTGTCTTTCCCTCTCTCCTTTTTTCCCTCACCTCTCTTAGTTTCTTAGGCTGCTGTCCCAGAAGTACAAGATCCATCCAGCTGCTCCTTTCATGAAACCTGGATAGGAGTCCATCCCATAACCAGCAGCAATGTATAGGATTCATTCTTGCTGGTTTTATTCCATGGGACTATGCTCTAGACAGATTCCTGTATCTTTGCAGGCTCCATGAAAAATAGTTAGGCAACAAGGGAAGTATTTCTAACAAGGAATTGAGGCCATTGAGAACACTCAATCTGGTATCCTATTGTTTGTCAAGCCACAGATGTTCTTCTGGAGAGACTAATTGGCAACCTTGCACATGTGCCTATCCATTTCAGGTTCTCCATTCCATTGTGTTCAATAAAAGTTCTTATTTTGCCACATGTATTTTTTTTGTTGTTGTTGTTGTTGCTAGATTGGGCTACATAGGGATCAACGCGATACATCCTAGCAGGGCCTGGAGTAAGCTGGCCTGTAAATGAGATTGTGAGGCAGGAGAGTTTCCTCAACCATCTCCCTGGCCTGTGGATGAGGATGTACAAAGAGGACAAGTTTTAGCGTCATGAGAGAGGAGGCAATCTTGTGGAAGGGAGGCTGAAATAATTAGCACATAGATAACATGAATTTAGGGAGAGGCTTTTCAGTGTCTCTTAGCTTTAAATGTGTTACTTCCTATATGAAGACATGGAGCAATTCCACTGAGCTAAGGTTATTTCTGCTGGTACTTTGTGCTCATAGCATCAGTGACATGGCTCAGCATGAAATAAACATCTATGCCAGTTTCAAAAATCCATTTTCAGTTTTGGGGTGTGTATGTATGTGTACGTATATGTACAGAGGGAAAGAGACATTTAGGAAAGAGCCTGAGACAATGTCCAGATATAATATGTCCACAGATATTATCTGTACTACAAATGATACTTTGTTCTGAGATACAATTTATTAACATTGGCAAGAGATCAATTCTCGCTCCTTGACTATGACTATCATTAAGTGTTGTACCTTATGATTCTTGATGAACGTATCTTTTCTTTTATGTACACTGAGAGCATATGCACCAAGACAAATTCCTTGTGTGTCCAATCACACTTGGCCAATAAAAAATTCTATTCTATTCTATTGCGTTTATCTCCATCTATGAAAACCACAAAAACAGTGTCTTCCTTGAATTTCAAACTCTATCAAAATATGAATAAAAGTGGAAAACCCGAGCCTGCAAACTGTACTGGGTAGTTGAAAATAAACAGCTAACTACTAATAATGCCTCACAAGAGCCAGTTTGGTGGAATGGTTAAGGCATCATGATAGAAACCAGGGGACTGTTAGTTCTAGTCCTGCCTTTAGCACAAAGCCGGATGGGTGATCTTGGGCCAATCACTCTCATTAAGCCCTAGGAAAGAGTCAATGTTTCCAAAAAAACCTTGCCAAGAATACCGCAGGGACATGTCCAGGCAATTTGAGATTTGGCACAAATGAATGGAATGGAAAAAAAAAAAATACCCCAGTCATCTATTTGCCTTTTCATTACAAAGATCCCCATTGAATACACAGACACTTGGAAAAACTGGATAATTGAAGAAGCATTCCAGAAGAGGACATACTATTCCAACATTATAAAAAAAAAAAAACATGAAGACTTAGATTACCAGGAGTCAGTCTTAACTTGACGAAGGTTTCACCTTTCTTTCTTAAAGCTGGATTCAAAATGTAATTGTTCGTCCTGAAGAATGTATTGGGGAAATGTATGTAACAAAGTTCATTATTAGGGTAATTTATTTTTTTAAAAAAATCTCAGAATCTGTGTTAACAACTATATAAATTGCCTACAGAATTGTGGATGTTAAGGAAAGTTGTAACTTTTACTGCAACTTTTTCGCCATTTTTAAAGCTTATGTATGTGAAAAAATCTGTAGATTAAATTGATATTTCTCTACATAGTCATATAATCAAGTCAAGTTCATAGGTTCTAAAATGTTCTTCATTTTCATCCTTTCTGATTTCCAAGTGATGGATTGTATATAGCCATAGAATGCAATGAGGCACTTTGCTACAAGTCCCCAAGCTGAATGCAAACTTCTAATTGTAATTAGAAACACAGACAATCAAACATAGAAGACAATATCTAATTACATTGAAATTGCTCTCTGCTCATTATCTTAGGAAGTTGCTATTCCATCTATGGACAAGATATATGTGAATAGTAACAGTGCTCAAAATTATTATACAGAAAAGCAAGACTTTGGGGAAAAGAAATGTTCTCCACAGTGTCACTGCCTGTCACTTTAAAGAAATATTTATATATTTAGTTTTCTAAACCACTGCAGTCATGTGACTCTCGGTAATATATAAAAGGAACAATATATAATACATATAATATATACAATATATAATAATAAAGTATAAATAATATACAACAAATATAAAAATTAAGAACAACTAACATGCATCAATATAAACGTATCCTTAGAATAAGCACTGATTTAACTTCTAGAATAGTAATTCAGCAATAATAACATCAAGGCTAATTAATGTAGCTTCTTTTGGGAAGGCTGATCTATAACATAGGCAAGATATACTTACTTCACAATCTATACATTTCAGGAACTTATTGCCTTTTTACTATTTCTTCACTTAGCAGGATAAAAACCATATATTGGGGAAAATAATTCCAAAATAATTTACACTGGTTTTTGCTAACACTGTATTAGTTAGAATGTCTTCTCCAACTCTTTTGTTGCATAACAAAAGAAAAATGGATCTCCATGCCTGCTGAATGTAATAATTGTTCGTTCTGCTCTTAAATATATTATGTGGAAGTAATTTATATCTGTTAAGCAATACACATTGCCACATTAGTGTGTTAGAGGGGGATTTCACATCTTTTTGTCTACTCTGTTTTAGCACGTTGGGTCCTTGTTCTACCTGCAATTTGTGATATTGTTCTAAAAAAGTTGCTGCATGTTGGAAAATATTTTCAAATCAGTGAGCAGGAACTTGACTGATCTTCTGGTTGAATTTGAAACATGTTTCAAATGTCATTAAGGAATAGAGCATTACAACAGGAATGCAATAATAATAGTTTGTGTGATAATAATTCTTATAAAAAATGTGCAATATGCCTCTGCTTCTTGTGTTGATTTTACGTTAAATGGAACTGAATGAGTATACAGCTCAATGTGTAATTATGTCCAAATTAATTGGTTTTTGTTGAATTCCTTCCACTACTTCTCAAACAGTATGGTGTTCCAAATCAAACTCTGTCCTTGTTTTAGATAAAATTGAAGATGAATTGGAAATGACAACAGTATGTTATCGACCAGAAGGATTAGAACAACTTGAGGCACAAACCAATTTCACAAAGAAGGAACTTCAAGTGCTTTACAGAGGATTCAAAAATGTAAGATGGTAAAATATACTTATTATGAACTGACCAGTAAATCAGAACAGGAGAGGAAGTTTTTCTGAAGTCCTTCTTTAGGTCTAAGATCAGACAGATAAAAGGCTATTATGGCTATTTTTAATGTCATATTTAAAAGGAGGCCAGGCTGAAAACTTGCCGCTCACCTGTTAAATGTAGCCTGTGTTGTAATTTTCTCATGTACATAGTGGATGAACTTAATAGCTCTGTAACCTGGCAATTTCAGCCAATCTCTTTATTGCTTCTTTATTGTGCCAAATTAGATTTTGGGACAGTCCATTGTTACTTTGGGATATCTTGGACATATTTTGTATTTCACAATTGTGGCCATTCAGGTCATATCTTTTTTAAAAAAGAAATCCAAGCATTTAGGAGCTAAACTTACCTGTACAAATTGTTTGACAATAACAGAATGAATGACCTAACAAAATAAGTATTTGTAAGCTCCAATTTTCACTGAAGTTCTCTTTTCTTTCCATAGTATTATGAAGATGCTTTTTTTCTTGGGGGTGAGAGGCAGATAGGATAGTATGATTACTTCAAAGATAAAATGTTAAATTTCTCCTCCCTCCCTCCCTCCTTTCCATTATTAATTAATGTGAGTCTTTAAGACACAGCTTGAACAGTGAGCTATTGCTCTCCATAGTGATAACTCACTGTTCAAGCTGCATATTAAAAAGACTCATACTAATTAATAATTTGATTCTGCCACAATTATTCAAAACTTATTCAAAAGGTACAATTGTATTGTTTTCACTATGTGTATTATTAAATGTAGTGGATTCAGATGGAGAGAACCCAATTTAGGAAGAAAAAAATGAATATATATGTTGTAATTTATCTTAGTCTAAAAGCCTACAGTTTGGGCAGCTATAAGTGTACACAGTGTACTGGACTGTTGAGATTGCAAAGAAACATATGACTATCAGATCAAATTTCTACTTCAGCAATGAACCATAAGTATCATTCACTGAAATATATTAATTTCATAAAAAGAAAAATGTTTCATAACATTAGTGCTTATTGATAAGGTGTGTGGTAGTAAAGTTTTTGCTTCATTAGTCATCCTGATTTCAATATTTCTAAGGGGGATGTATTTTGCTATGTTTGATCTCAATTATTTTGCCAAAGCTTTTCAGGGTCAAGACAGATCCAAATCTTGGTGTATGGCAAACCAATAACATACTTAAACAATTCAACATCTTCAAATACAAATTGGCTAGGAAATTGCTTTTATTTGCTGGAGCAGAATTTGACAAATTGAATGAATATCTCCATGTATTAGATAGATTATTATTGAACCTATTATTTTCTTTAAGAAATCAGCAATGTTCATATAACAAAAAATGTAAAACCTAGAGTGCCCTTGATCGGCTGGATTAAGGCCAATTGATGCCTTAAACTCAGCACACAGTGGTATCCCCCAATCCTTCCATTGCTTAAATGACAAGACATTAAGTCTAATTAAGTGCTGAAAAGTAAAATTGAGTGTCAGTGAAATAGTTAAAGACATGATAGCTAAGGGAAAAAATTCTGTGGTGCCCCCACACCTTCTCTTGGTTCTTCATGATGTTTACACTCCATCAATTCATTGCCGACTCCCAGCAACCCCATGCATAGATTTTCTCCATGATGATCTGTCCCTAACCTGGTGCACTCTTCCAATGGTGTACTCAGTATCACTTTAACAGAATTCATCCATTTTACTGTTGAACATCCTTCTTCCACCTTTTCCAGCAATTACAGCCTTCCCCAGAGAGCTAGATCTTTACATAATGTGTGAGAAATAAAATAGTTTGAGCTTCAGGTGAGAATGCCCTAACTAAAAGCAAGCAAGGTATTTGAGAAATAGAAACAACAAAATATACTTTCGTGTAAATACTTACAGTGAGTCACGGGATTCCCTACTGGCAACCTGCAAGAGAGAACCCTGAACAAGCCTGCTCCTCATGTTATATATGTTGGCAATAACATTTAAATAGATAGGTAACTGGAAGATAAAGAGGGGGGGGTGGTAATGTAATCAGCCAGTGCCATTTCCTCTGGAGTGCTTTGACAAGCTATATGATTGACCTTACTGCTACCTTTTCACACCTTTCTCATGGCATCAATGTACACCATAATCACAGCACCAGGTGTTAGATTATGGGTTTACTTCTACCAAAAGCTATGATACATTTTTATACACTTACTATAATGTGGAATGCTCCATACTGCTGTGTTACTTTGCTTAATGGTTAATCCAAGACTGTTCTTGGCCCCTCAGGCTGGAGGCAAATATTTAGTAAGCATGAGAGGCAAACATCTAGGTATAGATACAATCCAAGTGCGTCCTGTTAGCTAAGGGAAGGCAGCATTCATCTCCCAAGAACAGTTCATAGCAAGGACTACATTTCAGGCACTAGGTGGAGCACAGTTGAAAATTAAGTCTCAAATATGCAAACCTAGGCTGTCCTGGAATGTTGGAAGCTGTGTTGGGTGTGTTCCTGTAAGTGTTACAGAAAGTGGGAATCCCGTCAGATAAAAAGTGATGAAGCAAGTTTTATTCCTGTTGGCAACAGTAAGGAGACTTATTCAGGGGAATACCTGATAGTGTCAGGGAAAACCTGATGTAGCTAACTACATTTTATTAGGAGGATAGTAAACAGTGTGGATAACTATGTGTATGTGCAGCTAGGATGAAAGGCAGATACAAGTGAACTCAGATTAACACTGTCTCAGACAAAGAGCAGGCGGAATAGTATACAAAGAGGTGACATGGAGTATAATGTTAAATCTTGATTTCTCATGTAATAAAGGCAGGGTAAAAATCTCACAAATAAATAAATCTACTGTCTCCTTGTGGTCAGTATGTGATGAGGTACTAATAAGACAGTACGTTGGTGGATGTGAACTTCCAAAAGTTTTAATGCTAGTTTGCTTTTAGAGGAGACCTTAAATTCCAGAACCTCTGGGCATAGCTGACATGATCATTTCTGATTCCAATATCAAGAGTGATATGAATTATCCTGGCTAAGCCCAATTTTTCTCTATACAATCGAGCATTTTTTTGATGTCTCCACATGGATTAGGAAGGCAAGACTCTAATTCAAGGTCTGAGTCTCAAGGGCCAAGAACACTGAGGACGTATATCAATGCATAACATGGTTGTTAGTGTTGAGAGCGCTTGACTGATTAATCCTAGTTGAAGGCTGACTCTTTCTTGCACTGAAATGCAAAAGATCTTGATATCTAGGTTACTTATCAAAATGTGTTTATAAAAAAAGTAATTGTATGATGGTATAATGTTGCATAGTATAAGAATGCACTGATTTTTTTAAAAAAATACTTTTGTGGAGAAAACTTAAGCTAGCTTCTGGATATGTAAAAAAAAAGGGCTAAAAAGTAACTTGTTATTTTCCCATAAAGTTTCATACCCTAGCTGTGAAAATTCTCAATTTATGGAATTGCAGAGGAATACCCCAATTATCCCTGATATGCACAAATTTCTAGTTATATAGTTTAAAGGATTGTGCATAATTAATCAGACTGAATATTCATCAAAAAATTTTAATGAACTAATTTTGTCATAGTTATGTAGAAATTACATGAAGGGGCATACCTGCTTGATTTCCCAAGGAATAAGTCTGAAGATTTAGCTGTATTAAGTTATTCTCTCTATTGCTAATGAGATCTCTTGAGCATTCTTGACTCTTGTGAAACAAAACTGTGACCATTTAAGTATAAATGAATTGGAACTAGTAGGCGCATTTAAAAGCCGTCCAAAGACTGAAAATTAAAAGTACATGTTCACTTTGACACTCAGAAAGGGTTATTCAAATCTTGCCAAAAATTATCCAAACTTCCTCAAATTTATTTACATGGAGGGGGAACAGCAAAAATTTCAGCTGTGCAGGAAACCATTGTTACCCTTCAGGCCAAGAATGAAAACACCCTGAAAAGTCATAGCTTGAGGATATCATTTGGCAATTATAGCTATTCTCTCTTCCCTAAAGAATGAAAACTACACATTGCCAAAAGAGCACATTTAGTTTTGCATAATATTTATTAGAATAACATAAAAAGAATTATAAATTTTAAATAATAAAAAATTAAATAGTTAGAAATTATTTTATTGTATTTTAAACAGAAATACCAAACAACTTGATAGGTACTGTCTAGGGCGTGTCAAATTTTTCAACTTTCAATTTTGAAATACTAAGGGTGCTCAAATGTTGTGACATGCTTTGGGGATTGTAAAGATATTTTGGTTACTTAATATAATTTAGATGTCCTTGGTAAGTACCATGTTTCCCCGAAAATAAGACCCTGTCTTATATATTTTTTTTTGCCACAAAAAAGGCACCAGGTCTTATTTTTTTGGGGGGGGTGTCATCCACTGACTCACCTCATTTGCATGTGTCACCCCCTAGCCTCCTTTTCGCTCTCAGAGGCCTTCAGGAATTTCTTCTGAGGCCAGCAAGGCTTTCTTGAAGGCCTCTGCAGCTGATAATTACATAAACATAACTTTTTAACATTTTGTTTGTTTTATGTGACACCAGGTTATCTATATGTCTGTTTAGTCTGGGTTGTTTTGGATGCTGACTGTTGATGAACTGCTTCGATGGCCTCGGTTTCCTTTCTAAAATAGTTCTTTACCTGTAAATCAGAATTGAATGGGGCAGTCCTTGAAAGTGATAATAGTTCTGCATAAACTAAAATGTAACATTTAATAAGTTCAAATACATAGCAATAGTGATAGCACTTAGGTTTATATACCGCTTCATAGTGCTTTGCAGACCTCTCTAAGCAGTTTACAGAGTCAGCACATTGCTCCCAACACTCTGGCTCCTCATTTTACCGATCTCAGAAGGATGGAAGGCTTCAACATACTTCAAGCATAGAATTTTATAAGACTTCCAAACTTATAATCATTTTCCACATGTACTTCTCCATGATCTCTCACCACTTTTTCCATTTTTTTTAATCATTTTCACAAAAAAAATGGCAACATTGGTATCACAAATACCTATCAATTTAGAGATAGACTTGTACCAACAATGTTTGTACATATTCATAATAGATTTTTGATCTATAAATGCAAAAAATAAATCTCTATTTTATAACTTGCTTCATAATGTCCCAATTCCTTTTCTATAGATGGTAACCAGCTGGGTCATTTTTAATTTAATTTTATTAAGCATTACAATTAAAAAGATAAAAATTAACATGTATATGTATATATATGTACCGTATTTTCCGGCGTATATGACGACTGGGCATATAAGACGACCCCCAACTTTTCCTGTTAAAATATAGGGTTTGGGCTATACTCGCCATATAAGACTATCCCTCTTCCAATGCACACCAAATAAAAATTAAAAAAACATCAACTGGCTCACCCACAATGTAAAAGCAGCTGTGCTAGTCCCAAAATGGCCCCTGCAACAAGCAGGAACCTCACACAGCCACAAAAAGCCCCCCAAAAAACTTTCACACTCTACACACACACAACACAACTGGCTCACCCACAATGTAAAAGCAGCTGTGCTAGACCCAAAATGGCCCCTGCAACAAGCAGGAACCTCACACAGCCACAAAAAGTCCAAAAAACCAACTTTCACACTTTACACACACAAAATTCCACATACAGCTTTGTGAGATTTTGTGTGTTTGTGTAGTTAGAGTGAAACACTACAGAAACACACTAAATCTCAGAAAGCTGCACAAATATTATTTTATTTTATTTTTATTTTTATATGAAAGCTAAATTTAAAACTTCCTAAACTTTAAATGGCTAGGTCTAAAAAAGAACAACTAAAAAAACCCCACTTGACTATTTTTTTTAAAGCTCCCAAAGGGGAAAAAAACTTACCCAATAGAACAGGGGTTTCCAACCTTGGCAACTTTAAGACTTGTAGACTTCAACTCCCAGAATTCCTCAGCCAGCTTTGCTTTGCTGGCTGAGGAATTCTGGGAGTTGAAGTCCACAACTCCCTGCTTGCTTGATTGCAGGCAGGGAGTTGCTTGCTGATGGAATGGATTCAGGCAAGCGAAGCAAGGCAAGCGTTGTGACTAGCAGCTGAGGTAAGCAAGCTGGAGGGGGAAAACTTTTTTCCTTTTACATGGCTCTGGCCATCCCAGCTGAGTTGCAGGGAACTCAGCTGGGATGGGATCGACCGTCAGAGCTGGGACCGTCAGAGCCATGGTTCTGGCGATCCCAGCTGAGTTGCAGGGAACTCAGCTGGGATCGTCAGAGCTTGGATCGTCAAGAGTAAAAGGGAAAAAACTTTTTTCCTTTTACATGGTTTCTGGCGATCCCAGCTGAGTTTCAGGGAACTCAGCTGGGATGGGATCGACCGTCAGAGCTGGGACCGTCAGAGCCATGGTTCTGGCGATCCCAGCTGAGTTGCAGGGAACTCAGCTGGGATCGTCAGAGCTTGGATCGTCAGAGTAAAAGGGAAAAAACTTTTTTCCTTTTACATGGTTTCTGGCGATCCCAGCTGAGTTTCAGGGAACTCAGCTGGGATGGGATCGACCGTCAGAGCTGGGACCATCAGAGCCATGGTTCTGGCGATCCCAACTGAGTTGCAGGGAACTCAGCTGGGATCGTCAGAGCTTGGATGGTCAGAGTAAAAGGGAAAAACTTTTTTCCTTTTACATGGTTTCTGGCGATCCCAGCTGAGTTGCAGGGAACTCAGCTGGGATCGTCAGAGCTGGGATCGCCAGAGCTGGGATCGCCAGAGCCATTTAAGGCTCGTCAGAGCCTTTCGGGCTGGTCTGCCTGGTTACAGGAGAACGACACCCGGCGTATAAGACGACCCCCGACTTTTGAGAAGATTTTCATGTGTTAAAAAGTCGTCTTATACGCCGGAAAATACGGTATATATATATGTATGTATGTATATGTGTATGTATGTATGTATATGTGTATATGTGTATGTATGTATGTATGTATGTATGTATGTATATATATATTGCTGGAAAAAAGAAATAAAAACAGAAGAAAAAATAATATGGTAAAGGAGAAGTAGATACTGTATATAAACAAACAACTTCCCTCTTCATCACAACAAATATAAACAATTTTATTTTAAAATTTATCATCTTCTCTTAAAACATAACAACTCTATTTTGTTATTCCAATATGGGGAAATTATCCTAGCCACTCTTTTGATAGTTGTTATTCTATATACTTTTTAATTAGTAAGACAAAAGCTGGTTTCATTTGTATAACTAGCGGAGCTTTTTTTGCCATGTCTTTTTTGTTGCATATAATTTTTAAACCCACTTTCAGATCAGTCTCAATCTAAAATGTCTATCATATTCTTATTCCATATCATCATTTAAAAACAGCCTATTTTAACTCTTTTGCCACAGTCATCAATCAGTTCCACTAAAAATAGAGCCATCTTCATTTTACCATTTTTTCCCCAGAAGTCTGTGCCAGTTGGGTCCTTCTGACAGAGAAAAGTCAAAAGTGCTTTTAAGTGCAGTTTTTTTTTCTCCTTTTATTACTGTTCTAAAGAGCATTTGCTAATTTATCCTGCTTAAAAGTATTTTAAAGCTTTCCAATAAAATCAATAGAACTTAATTTTGCTCGCCCTTGGTGGGAACGAACTCATTTGCTCCTTCAAAAGCTATCACTCCTTAGCACTTCAGTTTTTGCTGTTTGTCAGCAGATGATGCCTGCTTCTGAGGAATTACTTTAATTCTCATTTATTCATTTTGTTCTCTTTTGACCAAGCATCTTTTGCCCCAAAGATATTTAAATATCTAAAAGCAAAAACATCTTTTCCTGGAAAATTTGCATATCCAGATATTTCACTAAGTACAAATGGAAAGTTTTGGGGTTTCCTTAAGGCTGATCTGTCTTGAGGCTGTGGCAATGGCACCAGGATGATGCAGAGAGGAACAACAAGAAACGAGTGCCAAAAGTATTCTAGTTTAATTATCAATTATTTCCAATCTCTCAATAAGCAAGCAAGGTAACAGAGGTGAACATAAGTGCTGTAACACTAGAACCAGAAGGCATAGCCAGAGCCTAAATCTGGTTAACAGCATGGGACAGTTTTTTTCTGTATCTCTGTAGTTCCACTTTAGTTTCCAACAGCCAGCAGTGCTAATATGATCAACAGTCGCCCTCCCCACTATAGATGAGATCAGAATCTTGTTATGCTGCACATTTATAGACAGATTTACCTACAGGTAAATTGCAAAACAACTGTGTCTCTTCAGACAATCAATTGTTCCCTAATTAGCTTTGATTCTGCCGTTCCTTTTTTTTTTTTTTTTTTGTGGGGAATCAAATAAAATTAATTGCCTGAGGGGATCTGGCTCAAAATGGTCTCTGCAGGTCTTTGTTCCAGGCGGCAAAATGGATTTTAGCACCCCCTCCAACAGAACAAGGATTTGGACTTAAACTTGATTTTCACTGCATGCTAATGGCAAAAGAAATTGCTTACTGAGCAAAGAGGGGAAAGTATTGATTAAAACTGCCATAAGAGAATTTCTTCGGTTCTAAGCATATAGCATTCAGTGGTCAGAAATATGATGGTAAGAGTGTAGTGGGGACCAGGTGATACTATAAATAAAAAAAACAACAGCTTTACTCTTTGTTTCCCCATAGGAATGCCCTAGTGGAGCTGTTAATGAAGAAACATTCAAACAGATCTATGCACAGTTTTTCCCTCATGGTGGTGAGTGACAGCATTTCTTTTATTGAGAAGAGCTAGCTTAAAGTATAGAACTCATGAGTTAGACAGAACTGAAGATACATTTTTTCAATCTATAGTTCCTGAAAGAGAAGTATGGAAACTGGAAAAGAAGGAAAGCACACATAAATTACCTATGCACTATGGAAAATGGCGATCTGTCAGCTATATTGTTTCATATCAGGCCTCTCAGAATCGAAAATGAACCCAGAGGATATTCCGTTCAGCTCTGCATAGGTTTACTTTCGTTATTTTAATAATATAATCTTCAATTGACTTGTGTTTTTCAGATGCTAGTATGTACGCCCATTATCTTTTTAACGCATTTGATACAGCGCAGAATGGATCTGTGAAATTTGAGGTAAAGAAATCATAATAATCTCCAGGTGATTGTACCAAATACCATGTTTTAAATTGCTGATAGAATGGCTATTTGTCCTTAATATAAGCCAACAAGCATTAGCTTGTGTGTTTATGTCTATCTGTGCAAATTTCTAGGTGTATACACCTACATGAGGTCACTAGGATTTCTTTAATAAATTATTTCCTATACAAGGTGAATAGAGGTGATGCATAAGAATGCGCTTTGGGGCTTTTTACCTGTTGCATCAATATTTTACAATGCAAATGTTTGTGATAGTTGATTTAATCAGTAAAGTTATTAATTCTAAAATGTATAACTCATATCTAAAGATTTATTCATACCTGATTCAATGCCTATCATAGGCTTCTTAAGCATGTCTAAAATATAGCAAATTTTCTTTCACTTTCTGCCATTTGAGAATTTAATAATATAATCATCTGACTTCCCATTCTTTCAGCTGTTTTGGAAAAGTTGTCATCTAGTCAGATTGGTCTGACCTTAGACCTGAACAAAGGCATTATTAAGTATAACTGAATATTTTTATATGAGATCTTGGTTCTAATAAAGTATCATTTGCAAACATTGTTCTATGAAAGCATTTTCATTTGGTTAAAGCAAATCAGTATTCAGTTAAATCAGATTTGTATTCCTGGATCCACAGGATTTTGTGATGGCACTCTCCATTCTTTTGAGAGGAACAGTTCATGAAAAGCTACGATGGACATTTAATCTCTATGACATAAATAAGGATGGCTATATAAACAAGGAGGTAAGGTGGTTTATAGTTCTCTCCAGGCTTTTGGTTTCTGATTAAACCTGCAAAATGCAATTCAGGCTAATAAAAAGTTTTCTATTACTAGTTCTGGATTAAATATTTTTTAAAAAATAATAATGATTTAGCTTTTAGTATATATAAATTATTGGTATCTGTGCATTTCTAACCATCTTGTCAAACATTTCAAACATCTGTTGTATAAAATATAGAATGAATGTTAGATCTATATAGACAAAGGGCATTAAGATTTTTTCCTACTCCCTGTTGGAGCTAAAATCTGCCTTGCTACAAGGAGGAAATCTGTTTTGCTCAGAGATCGATCTTGGTTTCCATGTTGCTTTAGTTCAGGGCTAGCTGGGAAAACCACTCAATGCTTAAAACAAGCATTGAAAGAAGGGAATATTACAAGCAAGTATCTAATTTTTTTGGAATTCATTAATAAAATAATTAGTTTTTAAAATGCCATAGCTTTTAGCATACAATAAGTTTTATTGGTTTTATAAGGATTAAGACAACTGGAAGGTGCCAATATGAGATAAACAGTGAAAGAGAAAGAAGGAGAGAGACCACACTGTAACACATGTCACAGATACAACAGCTTTGCTCAGGGTTTTTAGGTCATATTTAGAAATAGTGTCTGTATTATCACCAGTCTTCCCATGTTGAGAAGAGGTTGTCTGGAGGGACTTTTACTTCTATCCATGCAATTCAAAAAGAGTTGAGTTGAGATGATGAGATGAGATGAGATGAGATGAGATGAGATGAGATGAGATGAGATGAGGAGATATCAGAGTTCCAGTGTTGTTGGTCATATAATTGTGGCCTCACTCAATTCTTATAAAAACCAATCAACTCTATCAGCACTCAAAATGTTGTAATACTGGCCTTCCCATTCAATATAGAAATTAGGAATGGTGAACATAGTGGAGACAAAGCCTGGGCAAGACTTCTCATGTCTGTTATTGGGGTTTATATACCCATAACATCAGAATGGGCAATAACCTTTAAATCTTACTTCATTCTCTTTAACTGCAATTCATTGAGCGGAGGCATTTTAACTTTGTCCAGATCACACCATACATAGGAAACACATCTATATAGATATTAACAAAATTGAGATGAATTGAACCATCACGTGGAATTGAATAGCGTATGTTGCAAAAACAATAACAACAGAGCAGAGCAGAAAGCAATCTGATTGCTGGGTGCCTTGTCCCAGACAAAACGTTTTGGAAGAACAGACTCTCTGACTTGCATCTCAGCAAAATTATTTCTTTGGGAAAACAGGAATACAAAGAGAGAAGTACATAGTGCATTTATGGCTCCAGTAATAATCTCACAGACAAATTTGCAATGCACAAAGCACCATATGTCAACTTGGCCATTTTAGCCCTTTACAAATTTACATGGCAACAACTTCCCTCAATATGTTCAATAAATTACACAAGCTCATTATCTCTTCTGAGCCGCACACTATGCCAGGAAATGTTTGCAAGGAATTTTTGTGCTGTTCTTTGAAATGGAACAGGCAAACATCAGATTCATCCAATAACTGGGTTGAATTTTGTGACAGCAGAGTTTCTACATGTATTGGTCCAGTTTAATCCAAGTGAGACTTATTCCCAATGTAATTAAATTAGAACTGAGAAACTAAGGAGAAATTTCCCATTGGTGGGAGCAATTAACCAATGGAACATCTTGCCTTCAGAAGTTGTGGGTAGTCCATCACTGGAGGTTTTCAAAAAGAGACTGGACAAACATTTGTCTGAAATGATATAGGTTTCCTGCTTAAGCAGGGAGTTGACTAGAAGACCTACAAGGTTCCTTCCATCTCTATTTTTCTATGTTCTGTTGAGATTCTGAAGGACATGCTGTTTTCCAAGGGAGAATGAATAAAAGCTGGAACGTCTTACTCAAAAAACTAGCCTGGATCATATAGTAGGTATCATACTGTTTTCATTTTTGCAGGGAAATTAAAATATTTTAACAATTAGATTAAAGCATTTTAATTTCCTTGAAAAAATTCTTGTTAAAGGATGTATAGTAACACCTAGAAGCAGGAATTAGCATCAGATAAACAACTGGGCAAAAGTCTATAATCAAGTCTAAGCAATGATCAAACTACACCCTTATCTTTACCTCACGAGCTACTATGTATAAAAACAGGCAGCAAACCCCACCCTCATTCACACTGATGATATTACCTATTGGGGAAGTGAAATGTCTGCAAGCAAACAGCTAAGTTCAGAGAGCACCAAAATCTTCACAATGACATTTTGGCTCATTGATTCAGTTAGCATATGCACAAAACAAGTTAATAAAATACATGAATATAATTTTCCAGAGAGTTGTACTAGAGTTTTGCAGCAGCACCTTTTTGGTTTAAAAAGTTTATTAAGGTATGCATGCATTTGATAGATAGGATCAAATGAAATATGCAACAGAGTGAACAGCAAGTCCTTGAAGTTTATGTTATAATTGATGTGTTAGCTTTTAATATGCTGCAAGATTTTTTACTTTTAGTGGAGTAACAGCACTTACTGCTTACTTATGTGAGACAAACAAAGGGTTGCATCCAGCACGACTGACATTTTCTTATGTACATATAATTGTTGACTGTACTGTATTGATGAGACTGACCGGCAATATCCAGGGATGGCTTTTGCATTAACAAATAATTACATTATTAACTACAGCCTTAGATGCTAATTAAAAAAAACTGGACTTCAGAACTGAAGTAACACTCCATAACTGTAAGGATCTAGTATAGGGAGCAAAAGGAGATAGGAAAACTGAAAAGACTAGATGACCCATCTTGGATAAAGAGAAATGGGTTTTGCTGATGCAAAACTGTCTTTGGATATAAGCTGCTGACAAAAATATCTGAATTTAATTTAGAAATAACAATTAAGAGTACTGATCTGTAAACATAGTTATCAGAAATCCAGTCCATGGTCTTGCAAATGCAAGTAATGTTCAACCTGTGCCTTATAAGATCTCTGACAAGATCAAATATAGCGCCAGGTCTGGGCATGCCGAACAAATTTTGTTTTGAGTATAAAAGTTTATTGAATTCAAAGTTACTAAGTAGACATTTTCTAATGAAAGGATCAAAACACAGGTATGCATAACATAATACATATATATTACTCTGCATTTATGTTTTAAACTTTCATTTGAAAATGTCGGTATCACAGCTATGAATTTAATAAACCTTCTAATCAAAACAATTCTGTATTATGTGCAGCTTTAAACCTCCTAATGGAATATTGCCATGTTAGTGTTGTTTTGTTGTGGAAAATCAGCACTCAAAGAAAAAAAAATAGATTTCTAGGGTGTCATTGCCATAGCTGCATTGGATTTGAAAATTAATCTTATTTGATATCTCAAATAAGTGCTTTAATTGTCATAATTTCAGGAAATGATGGACATAGTAAAGGCAATTTATGACATGATGGGCAAGTATACTTACCCAGTGCTGAAGGAAGATGCTCCAAGACAACATGTAGAAGTATTTTTCCAGGTAATATTCATGTGTTTCTACATGGAAAATTTATATTTTTAATCATTTCATATTTGGAAAATACAGTCTGGAGACATCTGCAGAATGTAGAGCTGTGCTTCTGCAGCATTTCTGTCTTATGCTTCAAAGCCAATACAGAGTCAAAATGTTTCCATTTTTCTTTCTTTTTCTTTACAGAAAATGGACAAAAACAAAGATGGCATTGTAACTTTGGATGAGTTTATTGAGTCATGTCAGGAGGTAAGGACAATATAGGCAAGGCAAAATTTCTTTTGGGGGGCTGTGCCTGCCCAAATCCACAGTAGGCAGTGGAGTTTGGAAAACCCTGAGATATATAAATGAAAATGTAATTAGTAAGAGTAAATGGTCAATACTTCCTTTTTTGCCTGCCATTAGGATTAAAATCTCATGCCCAAAGGTTTTTTTCCCCCACAACAGATTTAATTGATTGGCACAATATTCTTGTGGTTATGCTGTAGAATATCTACATTCACAAAGGTAATTGTCAATCATTAAGTGATAACGCTAACTCTAACTCTGATCATGTGGTGTGGAAAAATGTATTGAAATAGCTGAAACAAATGGAGATAATTAACTGGTGCATGAAATTCATTGGAAAGAACACAAGCCAAAGGGTCTATTTATTTCTTGTCAGTTAACTCAGTTTGTTTTATTCATTGGAGAGGGAGGGGATCATCATTGCTATACAATGAACAAAATAGAGACACTAACTTCTTGTAAAGAAAATACCTGTTTCCCCCAAAATAAGACATCCCCTGATAATAAGCCCAATTGGGCTTTTGAATGCATGGCAATAAGGCCAAGCGCTTTTTTCAGGATTCAAAAAAATATAAGACAGGGTCTTATTTTTGGGGAACCATGGTAATGAAGGCTCAAAGAAACATTCTGTTTCTAATCTCTCCCAGTGTTTAAAAATCCTTTATTCTAGTAATTTTTAAAAAACTAACCATGGAGGAATTTGCCCTAAAGATTGCTTCTACTGCTTTGCTTTCTTGATTTTGACACTTCTAGTACAGATCATTTTGGCTTACCAACCGCAATAGGGACTGGAACAAATCACTGTAATGGAACAAATCACTGTGAATCATAAGATTGATGTCATGTGACTGTGACTTGGGACTTCCTGCTGGCTTTCCCATTGACTTTGCCTGTTGGAATCCAGTTGTGAAGGTTGCAAATGGCCAACAGGTGACTACAGGACACTTTGACCATTATAAATGTGCAGTAGTTGCAAAACACCTAAATCACTGTTTTGAAGCTGTGGGGATGCTGCAATGGCCATAAACTCAAGGGATGGTCATACACTTATCTTTTCAACACCACTGTAAGTTTGAACAAGTGCTGAATAAGGCAGTTAGTTGGTAAGTATACAGTAAGAATACTGTATATTTCAGAAAGCCATTGTCTTTCTGCCTTTATATGTAGAAAAAACTACAGATATTATCAAACTGTTACTGAAAGGGGAATCAGCCAAATAATAGTGTAAATATATTTAGAATTTCATTAAAAATTGAAACGTGTAACCCATCTGCTTCCTAAAAACTCTTTGATTTTTTTCAGTGGCTACAAAGTCCTTTTAAGAATAACTTGCATCCAATAGAGATCTCTAATATTCCCTTAGGAGATCACTTTGCATTCTCCTTAATTAAAATAGCTAAACTTCATTAAATACATAGCATATATTTTATATATTTTTTTCTTCCTATAATTGTTTATCAGATGAATACTTGATGATCAGTTGCTTTGCTGGGCCTTGCAGATCTAATTAAACATTGCATATAAACACTGTTTTTCAAATAACTCTTCATGCTTATGATACTTGGTAGAATATATATGTAACAAAATGCCATAAATATAATGAAAATACATATGTAATAAAAATGTAAAGGACTACCTTTATATGTAAAGTGGGGACTTTTTTTCAGTGGGGCATAGAAGCTTAGTTCTTCCTTTACAGCACGGATATCAAACTCGCCACTTCACGTTGCCGTCATGGGACATTTTGCAACATTTTTCCCACTTGCAGAGCTGGGGTGGGCTTAGCCTGCACATGACACATCTGGCCCGTGGGCCGCCAGTTTGACATCCCTATTTTATAGTCCTTCATATTTTTATTAGAAGCATTAGAAGAATAGACCTTCATATTTTTATTAGAAGCATTTGCTTGTACGTCTCAGTTAGATTCCCAGTGGATAATTTGATGTCAGTTTTAATTTTGGTAGTTATTATTAGCTTGTAAAATTAAATTTCCTTATTTTATTGAATATGAGCATTCAGGTCACTTTATTCAATATTATGATGGAAATAAATTAATATCATTTTAGTTTCCCCATTTAGCACAACAGGCAAGACAATAGCAAAACATCTCGTCCCCTTTAATTTACTCAGTTCAGAAAGAGCGGGAACAAAATAAAAATCCTTCATTTCAGAATACTTTCCTTCAGAAGAAGAAATTATCTTTCTATTGCTCCTTTTAAAAAGAATCATCCGTGTTCACTGTCTTGATCCAGATTCTCCTCTGTAGCTACTTGCAAAGAATGATCAACTGTCATACAGTAGTCTATTGACCACACAATATTGTACTCAAGTTATCATTCTTGATTATGTGCCATCAAGTCATGTTCAACTCCTAGCAGCCACACAGATAGATTTTCTCCTTGAGGACTGTCCCTAACCCGGCCTTTCAGTATTCCAATGGTGCAACCATCACCATTATAACCAGCGGTAGGATTCAAATAATTTAACAACTGGTTCTCTGCCCTAATGACTGGCTAGGTGGCCGTGGCCATGGGAGCCAGGCAGGGGTGGGTTCTACTTACCTTTACTACCAGTTCGCTTCGCTCATGTGCACACCTTGCTTCTGCACATGCGCAGATCGCTGATGATGAAATCCAGGGCAGTGGGCTGAGCCTCCTGCCAGTTTTACTAGTGGTTCTTGCGAACTGGTCCAAACCAGGGGCAACCAACCACTGGAGCCAGGGAGGGTGACAGGCAGCACTTTGTCTCCTGCACCCCCCTGAAAGCAAAAATGGGCCACGGGGGCATCGCCCCCCCTGCACCCTGTTTTGGGCCTAGTAGGGCTCCCTGCTCTTAGCTGAGAGCCAAAATGGGTGCATGGGGACTCCTGGAAGGGGCATGGTGGGGAGGGCGGGGCCAGCCAGCAATTTAACAATTGGTTCGCCCAAACCAGCCCGAACCAGCTGAATCCCACCACTGATTACAACTGAATGGATTAACTTTCTGCTAGTCATCCTCTTCTTCTCTTTAAGTAGGTCAAAGTTATCTTTTCTGTACTCCAAAGTACAGGAGGGTAGAGTTACCCCATGTTGCTGCAGCTACTTGTGAATGCATGCGTGCTTAACTTTTTTTTAAAAAGTAAACAATTGTGACCAGCTCTTCTTAAAAGACTGATTGCATTTCCCTTTACTTAAACATTGTCTGTGACAGACTTCCTATTTTTCAGGCTCGGTTTCAGTCTTTGCAACCGGTTCTTTAAAGTTAGGTTTAACCTCCCTTGTCTCATTAGAATACTAAGCAGACATAAGCAGGTTTTTTTTTTTCTTCTTTCCCTTTCTGATTTCTTGTATTACCATCTGAGCAAAGCAATTCCAATTATACCCAGGATGAGAAGCAATTTTGTCAGAAAGAGAAATGTAACATTTATAATAAATCTATTAGTTCCTACCACAATAAATTTGAATTTGAGTCTATTTTATTTAAGCCCAAATCCCAAACAAGAGCAAAGTAGTTGTACAGAATCGGCAGATCAAACTTGTATAACCATTTATGATTTACAATTACATTTCCTTATCTCCAGGAAACAGGCCTTGGGGTAAGCAAAATAAATAAACATTATCTGAACACATTTTGTAGTTCTCCTAAATCATTTGTTCATGTTTGCCTCTTTCACTGGCCTTCTATTCTGGTAGAGAAACACCAGCTTTATCAAATATGTCCTTCTTCAGCATCCATCTTTCCTCAGCATTGTTTGATCTGTCATGCTAACCCTTTCCCATATTATCATGCACCCTATTTTATTTGTAAAAATGAAATTATCACCTTTTTCCAGATTATCACAGGTCCCTGGCAACAACAATTTCTACCATTCAGTTGATGATCATAAAATAGAGCTGGAAGGGTCCTTGGAGTTCTTGTAGTCCAAACCCTTGCCCAAGGAAGAAGTCTTTATATTATCCTGGGCAAATGGTTGTCTATTCTTTTATTGAAAATCCCCAGTGATGGATCACTGGAACAATTGTGGAAGGCAAATTGTTTCACTTATTAAGCATTCTTGCTGTCAGAAAAATTCTTCTTATTTTCAGTTTGGTTCTCCATCTGACCAGCTTCCAGCCATTGCTTCTTGGAAGAGTTAGGGCATAAAGAAAAGCACTTGAATGGCACACTATTAATTAGAATAGAATAGAATTCTTTATTGGCCAAGTGTGATTGGACACACAAGGAATTTGTCTTGGTGCATATGCTCTCAGTGTACATAAAAGAAAAGATATGTTCATCACGAATCATAAGGTACAACACTTAATGATAGTCATAGTCAAGGAGCGAGAATTGATCTCTTGCCAATGTGAGGACCCAGTTGTGGGGGCAATAAGCTGACTTTGTATAAATATACAAAAGGATGAAGGCTATTGCTGAGCACATTGTAAGCCACCCTGAGTCTCCGGAGAAGGGCGGCATATAAATCAAATAAAAAAAAAAGCTATTGGGGCATCTTGAACTGTGATATTTGCCCATATTCTACTGTATATGTGGCTATCACTAACCATATTCCCAAGCCTAAAGTACGGGGCTCTGAATAACAGAGTAAATTGTAGTAATTAAATGGCAATTTGCTATGGAATTGAAGAAAATGGTTTAGGAAAAAGAGCTGGAAACAGGTTCATCACTTTCTTATAGAAACCAGGACTCAGTTTCCTAGAAATGCAGAAACTTGAGTCTGCAGAAGGTAGAGTCATTTTTAAAAAATATTTTTATGTTATAAGAGTAAATCAAAAATTATAACAACAAAGGTATCAGAAACAAGATTGTTACTGATGTCAATAAAAACTGACAACAAACTCATAAAAGAAGAGGGAGGAGAAGAGAAATGCATTTAAAGAGAAATGTAATATCCAATTTTTTTTTTACTCCTACCATCATTCTTTCTTTTCAAAAGAGTATGTATACAACACGTAAAGGTCATCTGTAAAGAAAAAATTATTAATATTTTATTTATTTATTTATTTATTTATTTATTTATTTATTTATTTATTTATCTATCTATCTATCTATCTATCTATCTATCTATCTATCTATCTATCTATCTATCTATTTATTTATTTATTTATTTATTTATTTATTTATTTATTTATTAAATTTCTATACCACCCTACTCCTGGAGGACTCAGGGCGGTGAACAGCCAAGATAAAATACAGATAATACAAACATTAAAAATCCATTAAAATTATTAAAGATTTTGGCTGAAAAACAAATTTAAAACACCCAATTTATAAAACAAATCAAACGATTTAAACATTTAAAAGGGAGAGTTAGGCCAGGCCAGCCTGCTGAAATAAAAAAGTTTTGAGAGCACGACGAAACGTGCACAGATTTGGGATCCTCCGTATCTCTGGGGGGAGCTCGTTCCAGATGGTAGGTGCCCCCACAGAGAAGGCTCTCCCCCTGGGGGCAGCCAGTCGACACTGTTTGGCCGACGGCACCCTGAGAAGCCCCTCTCTATGGGAGTGTATTGGTCCATGGGAAGCTATTGGTAGCAGAAGACAGTCTCGTAAATACCCCGGTCCGATGCCATGGAGCGGTCTAAAGGTGGTAACCAAAACCTTGAAGTGCACCCAGGAGCCAGTGCAGCTCGTGCAGGAGGGGGGTCACATGGGAGCGCCACACTGCTCCCATAACCACCCGCACGGCCACATTCTGGACCAGCTGGAGCCTCCGGGTGCTCCTCAAGGGGAGCCCCATGTAGAGAGCATTGCAGTAGTCCAGGCGGGAAGTCACGAGAACATGAGTGACCGTAATTAACAAGTCCCGATCCAGAAAGGGATGCAACTGGCGAATCAGGCAGACCTGATAAAAAATCCCCCTGGCCACGGCCGTCAAGTGCTCTTCCAAAGACAGCTGTGAGTCCAGGAGGACACCCAAGTTGCGAGCCCTCTCCGTGGGGGCCAATGACTCACCCCCAATAGTCAGTGATGGCACCAACTGACTATATCGGGATGTCGGAAACCACAGCCACTCGGTCTTGGATGGGTTGAGCCTGAGTCTGTTTCTCCCCATCCAGATCCGCACGGCCTCCAAGCACTGGGACATCACTTCAAGGGCATCATTGGGGTGGTCCAGGGTGGAGATGTACAACTGAGTATCGTCAGCATACTGATGGTACTTCACCCTGAAACCACAGATGGTCTCACCCAGCGGATTCACATAAATGTTGAACAGAAGGGGCAAGAGGACCGATCCATGTGGCACCCCACATACAAGGGGCTTCGGGGTCGACCTCTGCCCCCCTGTCAACACGGACTGCGACCGGTCAAAGAGAAAGGCGGAGAACCACCGTAGGATGGTGCCCCCCACCCCTAACTCCTCTAGCTGGTGCAGCATGATACCATGGTCCATGGTATCAAAAGCCGCTGAAAGGTCTAATAGGACTAGAACAGAGGAACAACCCCTGTCCCAAGCCCTCCAGAGATCATCAACCAACGCGACCAATGCCATTTCCGTGCTGTACCCAGGCCTGAAACCCGACTGGAACGGATCCAGATATGATGATTCATCCAGGTACTGAGGGAGCTGTCACGCTACCACACTCTCAACAACCTTCGCAACGAAGTGAAGGTTGGAGACTGGATGATAATTTGCCAACACTGCCGGGTCCAGGGAAGGCTTCTTGAGGAGATGCCTCACCACTGCCTCTTTCAAGGTGGCGGGGAAGACACCCTCACTCAGAGAAGCATTTATAATCCCCTGGAGCCAGCCTCGTGTAACCTCTCGAGAGACCAGCACCAGCCAGGAGGGACACGGGTCCAGTAAACATGTGGCTGCACTCAGTCTGCCCAGTATCCTGTCCATGTCTTCGGGCATCACAGAATCAAACTCTTCCCAGATAATACTCACAAGACCTGCCTCTGTCCTCCCCCCTGAATCTACCCAGTCAGAGTCCAGGTGTTTATTTTTATTTATTTATTTATTTATTTTTAAATTTATATACCACCCTTCTCCCTGAGGACTCAGGGCGGTGTACAGCCAGAATTAAAAAACATGAAATACAAATATTAAAAACAATTAAAATATATATAAATTTGGCCCAAAATTAAAAATACAAACCAATTAAAACATTTAAAATTTCTTCTTAAGCCAGCCCGGCTTGCTGGAAAAAGTGGGTTTTAAGGGCACGGCGGAAGGCACTAAGGTCTTGGATTCTCCTTATCTCTGGGGACAACTGATTCCAGAAGGTAGGTGCCCCCACAGAGAAGGCCCTCCCCCTGGGAGTCACCAGCATACATTGATTGGCTGATGGCACCCTGAGGAGGCCCTCTCTGTGGGAGCGCACGGGACGATGGGAGGTCATCGGTAGCAGCAGGCGGTCTCGAAGATAGCTAGGCCCAATGCCATGGAGCACTTTAAAGGTGATAATCAACACCTTGAAGCGCACCCGGAAGACCACTGGGAGCCAGTGCAGCTCGCACAGGAGCGGTGTTACATGGGAGCGCCATGCTGCTCCCATCACTACCCGCGCTGCTGCATTCTGGACCAGTTGGAGCCTCCGGGTGCTCTTCAAGGGGAGCCCCATGTAGAGAGCGTTGCAGTAGTCAAGGCGAGAGGTGACGAGGGCATGAGTGACTGTGCACAGGGAATCCCAATCAAGAAAGGGCCGCAACTATTCCCGAATCTGAGCGATTTTGTCATGCAGATACTGTACAAAATCCTCGGCTCTACCCTCCAAGGGGTCCTCCCACTCTTCCTGGTGGAGCAGGGAGCGGGTCACCCTAAACAGGGCGGCCGGGCGCTTATCTGATGATGCAATAAGAGCGGCAAAATAGTTATACTTCGCCGCTTTTATCGCCACCAGGTAGGTCTTAATATGAGACCTTACCAGTGTTCGGTCAGATTCAGAATGGCTGGCCCTCCAACCGCTCTCCAGGCGTCTTTTCCGGCACTTCATCTCCCTCAGCTCCTCGGTGAACCAAGGAGCCAGGCGAGATCGGCGCCGGGTCAGAGGCCGCAAAGGCACAACCCGATCCAAAGCTCCAGCAGCCGCCCTATCCCAGGCGGCTACCAGCTCCTCAGTCGAGCCGTGTGCCAGAGCCTCAGGAAATGGCCCAAGCTCCGTCTGGAACCTATCTGGATCCATCAGGCACCTGGGACGGAACCACCTCAATGGTTCCGCCTCCCTGTGGCAGGGTGCGGCGGTTCGAAGGTCAAAGCAAAGGAGGGAGTGATCCGACCATGACAAGGGCTCGATCACTATATCCCCTATCTCAAGATCACTCAACCACTGACCAGAGACAAAAACCAGGTCCAGCGTGTTTCCCCCCGTGTCAGTAGGGCCATGAACTAACTGGGTCAGGTCCATGGCCGTCATGGAAGCCATGAACTCCCGAGCCACCTCAGATGCCTCACCGGCGGATGGCAGGTTAAAATCCCCCATCATTTAATAGTAATGATGACCAAATGTGATTGAATTTTCTTTTATTGTAGAGTTTTCCAAAGCTCTTACTGTTAATTTTTCAGGCTGAACAACTTTCCACATTGAAATATCTCTGAAATACTTTACATGAGATGCACTTCAGATTTCCATTGTTTTGCAATAATAAATCTAGTCACTAACAGTGAAACTGAAACAAATTAATTAAGAGTCTATATCTGGGTGCCTCTGGGTTCAAATGTGATATATAAAATTCCCATACTGATTACATATACTTAAATGTCTAGACAATATAGTAAATTAACTGAATGGTTTATTATAAAATATTGCCAAAAGATTTCCTAAAGTACTGGACATGGGCATCAAAGTTGGCAACATTTATCAATTTATTTCTGCAACCCCAAAAGGGTTGCAATTTATATAGCATCCTATAATACTTTATATAGCATCCTATAATAACAGCTTGCTGAGACAGACCAAGAAACCTTCTTAGTGTTTTAAAGAATTAAAATCAGATCAGAATCATGCTTATGGCCATTTTTCAGCAGGCACAGAGATATTCAACCTCTTGACAAGATGACTGCTTGGGATGGTGGGTTGGTCAATTGGTCAGGGATAAAATGTTCCTTTTTTGCTGGAGCTTTTGGTTATGCATAAAGTCCAAAGCTTTCACCTACAAAGTCTGCTAAACTGTGTAGCTGTATTAACATTATAACAAAAACAAAAAAAACCCAGAAAAATATATTTAGAGTATGTATGTGCATACACAGAGAGACAAGACACCAGAATTCAGGAAATCAGCCAAAGTAATATAATATTCTGATGTTTTAAATATATCCAGAGGCTTAAAATTAATGAGTCCCAAAACAATTAGGACAGATGCATGGGATCAGAGAAACTGGACTTTGTACTGATTGCTCTTTTTCAGAGTAAACATCTCACACTTTTGCCTCACCATACATTCAGAATCATGTGATAATTTGTAAACTAGATCATCTGTGGGTCTTTGAAAACATTCCCCCATCGCTATCACAGACTGGACAAAACTGTCAGCAATTAAAATATGTATATTGTATTTTCTTGTTGTTTCCAGGATGACAATATCATGAGATCTTTACAGCTTTTTGAAAATGTCATGTAACAGCAACTGAAGAGCAGTCTAGAAATCTAAGACTTTATATGTACTGAGATCCTGAAGAAAACAAGTCAAGATTTTTCTCCCCACCATCTTTTTTGATGAAAGCTTTTTACTACTTGGACAGACTCAGTGTATAAGGATTTTGTATGTTACTGCAAACTGAGCTGTGTCTCTGAATGCAACAAACTCAATCTTGCCTCCCTCAAGAGACACTGACTAGAATTTATTTCATTTAGAAGCATGCTAATAAAATCCGACCAGAGAGACCTGCTGCTTAAAGTTTAATAAATTATTGAAGTTTAAATTATTGAAACAATATTCAATATTCTATTAGCTAATCACAAAAAAAAAAATCTGCTGCTTTGACTCTAGCAAGTTGGATTGCATATGGTAACACAGCATCAGTAGCTTCTTTAATCATCCGTTGTGTTTTTGTATCATCACATTGTGTTAACATTTTCTTTTGATGGTACTGGAAAAGTTTGTGCTACTTTTACAAGCTGACACAAATATAACATGGTAAATGGGGGTGGGGGTGAATTCATTTAGAACCTGTCTGGACAATTATTTATTTACATTTATTGCACAAATATTTATTGGGCAATAAATGTAGAGCAGTTACTAATTTATTGTACCAGATTCAGGCATTTGTTTACTCAAGAAAAGACTTTCCATTCAGCAAAACTGCATTTTCTTAGCTTTTAGACTGTTACTGGAAATATACATTTCTTTTCACCACTAACAAAATAATTGCAATCTGGAATCTACCTGCAAAAGGGTATTTCCATGTATGCTAAAATTGTCACTTTTCAAGACAAAGATTTGACAAGCTGGTCCATTTCAAAACTGCCACTATAGCCTCTCCCTCTCACCCAGAGCAAATGTTCAAGCATGTTCAAGTGAAATTAATAACTTGGGGCTGGGCCTATGCAAGAGAAGGGTTACCAAAGGTGAAACTGAAAAGCATGTGTAGGTGTGTTTTTGACACATTTTGCTATCTGATTACTAAGTGCCAGCTGTTGTGGGAGTTTCGTCTGCGGGCTGAGTAAAATAGAGTCTGATGCAATGGAAAGAGGAAAGAATCAAGGACAGTCAATACCATAATCTACTGTATAGGTAAGCCTAGTGTTTTATTGCTTTTGACTTAAAAAAGTATTACTATAAAAGAAGACCGTGTGCTTTGAAATAATATTTAGAGGGATTGAAGCCAATTGTCTACCTGTCCCGTTGTTTACCAAACCTGGTCATGCAGTTGCCTTAAGAGTTGAATTTTTTTTAAAAATGGTTCTTTAAAGACTGCTTAACATGTAGCAGAGAAGTGATACTCTCACAGGAATTCCAAAATATTTCCCTTGTACCTTTTCAAAGTATTTAATCACTCCCTTTTTTGCTGTCAAAAAGTCCAGTTTAGGTTTTTCCTCTATGCCTTCTGGTGATTATTCATATGAAACTGAGACTCACATAAAAACAGACTACAGTACACTTTTGGCAGAAAATGTCAGGAAAATATTTAGCTAAATAGGACAATGTTTTGCCTTATTGTTCCAATTGACCTAAAGGTATAGAACCAAGCTTCAAGCTTTTGAAATGTTTCAGGAGAATGAAATATCCAACTCTTCTAAATCATTGCTCAGTACAACATATAAGATATTATTTTATTTAACAAAACATTCACCAGTTTTTATGCCTTGTATTTAAGCTGAAATGTGCAGGCTCTTCTTTGTATATTGTGTACCTACAGTTTTCAAGCACAAAACCAGCCATACCAGCCTCTGTATGCTGAAACAAAGTCACTGCATAGTTCATAGTTTCATAGTTAAAGCAACTTAGATTGTGTTGCAGAATACAAAAGTGTTAAAATTCCAAGCTATCTTCAAGCAAACCTTGATTTCACTGGAACTGAAGGTTCCAGTTTTTAATACAAGGATATTAAGAGTCAGGATGAACAACTGCTGTTTGGAGATTTGGGGGTAGGGAGGTTGCATTGTTTCTAAAAAAAATTCTCACATCTTATTGATGTTTTTGCCCTTTTCAGATACAAATATTTAAAAATAAAAAGTCAACCTGTTATTTTGAGCAATTTTGTTAGCAGTTAACATGGCTGATGCTGAAAGACATGATGAAAGATAGATTGATGTTTTTAAAATGAAATTTGAGGTTTCAAAGTCCAAGACTACATTTAAAATTGTATGCAATATATATCATTCACATTATGACAATTTCAGTCAACTAAACCTAACCATGATATGCTGCACACTACTATGCTATTTTTTTTTTCAAATAGAAGTCCCATGAAATGCAAACAGAATGGTGTTTTAAGGTAACAATCCTAATGAAGTAGCTTTGAAGTAAATTCTACTGAAAGTATTAATGGAACTTACTTCCAAATAATCTTGGTTAAGGTTGAATTTACTGATTCAAATAGAATTGCTTTCAGCAGCAGCCACAGATTTAGCAATTAAAATCAGTACATCCAGTATATGCAGAAACCTCTAATTGAACTTATTGAGGGCTGTTTATTTGCCTAACACAGCCTTGTAATGAGACACATGGAGAAAGGAACTCAGAAAGAAGTCATTCTTGGAAATATATGAATGCGAAGGAATGCTTATATGACCCCAACACCTTCGTTCTACATTTGTACACCTCCATTTCCTTACCCACCTTAAGATATTGTTAGCATACTTTTGCTCTAGCAAAATAGTGTTTTATTTCAGATAAGTGAAACAATAGGCCTGATCTATGGTTAAGCTAGACAAGAGGTCAAGAGATAGGGAGATCTTCCAACCCAATTCTGTCCTGGAACTTCAGGTCTGTTCTCCACCAGTGGCAGATATACATTTCAGCCTGTCATTCCCAGAGGTTCCCAAGCCAATTTGGCAGGGAAAACATTATACACCAACAGAAAACTGTCTAATATGGGATTCACACCCTATGCTGCACCATGTTAGCCATCACCAATAAAAACTGTGGCCACTATTTTCCCACTCGTTCTCCTGAAAGTGAATAGAATCAGCTCTGGAACATAAAGTAGCAATTTTTAGCTGACCTTAAGAACTAACTGTGCTGGATTATAGCTGGATTATAGCTGGATTGTCATGCATATAAAATAAAATATTGAACATTTATAGTTAAGCTAAATAAGAATTAAAACTAAATTTGATTTCCTGGTTTAAGAAAAAATGTTCAGATTATACATTTTTAAATACACAGGAATGAAGTTATTTGATTTTTTTTTTCCCTGGGGAAAAAAATAACGAAGGGCTGCAACAAGTAGCTTTCCTTATATTGTTCTAACTTGTGACCATCATATTTTCAATAAGGTTTTAGCTGTATTTTTTACAACAGATTATGTATTATTGGCAAGGAAAATATATTTTAAAAATATCATTCATAGTTCTATATTTTATAAAACACATTAACTGTAAAGTCTTTATACAGAAAGTTGTAAACCTGATACTACTGTAACTGGGTTTGTAATGTAATGGGCATGTTCTCAGAAAACTTTTCGATGCCCTTTAGATATCTTGTAGAATATATTTGGAGGTTTTTATCCCCAGTGATTCTCCAGTTCCTAAGTGTCCCTCCTGTGTCTGGCTCAACTGCTTTTTAGTTCCAATATCCACTGTCAAACCTTGGAATTAGGGTCACCATTAAAGTACTGTAGGTATAGAGATATGTAACCTTCCAGATAGACTTATGTGGTTCCCCTCCAATGCAGGCACCATGGCCTTTGTGCAAACTGAAACCCCAGAGAGGGTTCCCATCTGCACCTCTCTCTCTTTGTCAATCAGTTGGCAGGATTTTCTTCTTTTTTCTAACAGTTTAGCATATGAAACACTGACTGCTTAGTCCACGCTCTACACCTGGTCTACTATATAGCAGGAAAGAGACTTCAGATTGGGAAGATGGAATGGGGAGGAGAATTAAACTGAGTTTATGAGTCTTTGTAAAGATGGAATAGTCAAGCAAATAATTACAGATATAGGAAAAAGAGGTAAGGAAATTAAGAATATTTTTCCCAGCTTCAACCATTTAAGGGTTTGATGAAGATGAGTTAAACTAGTAAAATGATACCATCAGCATGAAGGAGTTAAGTAGATAATTTTACATGAAATTTAAACAGGTGTAACTTTTTGGAAGCAAAGTTTATACAAGCCTTTCCTCAAAATATGGGCTGAGGATGACAGAATTCGTAGCCAAAGAATTTATATATTAGACACACAGCTGACAAATTTTAGATAAGTTTAGCTGCTGCAATAAATTAAATATATATCTTGCAGAATTCATCTTTTGAAAGTAATGCTTCTGAATTCCTGTAGGAGAGTTCTTTGTCTAAAATCAAGAAAAGAAAGAGAAAAAAAGACAGAATTTCTTAGTACAACATAGTTCTCACAAATTCTGACGCACAATACAAACATTTGTTCAGACAGAGATGTTGAGAACCCCACTGGGGTTACTAGGGAGAGACAGATTCCAAATTTATCCTATTGCAGTCCCACTTTTTGTAAAACTTTACATTTATATAAATCAGCATATTTAATAAGAATGTGTATCAGATTCAGGTAAATTCTGAGTTGGATGTGATATCTTCATGCTCTGAAGTTCCATGAAGATCTCTTCAGTATGACCCAAACTAATTTGGTATTAAATTGCTTTCTATAAAGAGAGCAACTCTGCATATTAATGTTATCCAACCCTATCAAAACTAAGGATCCATCAATAAAATGAAATTATTTTTTTAAAAAAATAAGAGCCTTGGTAGTACAGTGGTCTAAAGCACCCTGTTATTAAGACCAGCTGCCTGCAATTACTGCAGGTTAGAATCTCGCCAGGCTCAAGGTTGACTCAGCCTTCCATCCTTTCTAAGGAGGTAAATTGAGGACCCAGTTGTGGGGCAATAAACTGACTTTGTATAAATATACAAAAGGATGAAGGCTATTGCTTAGCGCATTGTAAGCCGCCCTGAGTCTCCAGAGAAGGGCGGCATATAAATCAAATTAAAATAAAATAAAATAAAATAAAAGATGAAGATTAGTTCTAAATACCATATACTTATTTCCTTGACATTGGTAGGTTTTGTTCTTTTGAAAAGCCTAATGCACTTGCTTGCTATATCTAGTTTCATCACAAACTAAATTCTAGAACTGATCCTGAGGTTTTTGTAGGTTGGTCAGTGAGAAATTTTTGTCATACTAAAGCTTTGAGTCAAATCAGCAGCTGACTTTCAGATGACTTGGCCACCTTCATAATAGCTGCCTTATAGATTAAATTAGAGTAGTCTGAGTTTTTAAAAAAATAATAATAATTAAAACTAAAGGCTATCCACTAATGTAGTAAGATTAACGGATCTGGCCTGTAAAAAGTCCAGACAGCTACCAGATGGGAGTAGAAAGAGTTATCCTTGTTGCTATCTAATAGTCCTCCAAATCTAGTAGCCATTATGTAACAAATTCTTTGCATTATTTTGTCTGCCAACTTTTCAATCAATCTAGTATTTTTTGCTAAGTAGGTTGAGACCTACTGTACTGTGTGGGTTATAAATTAATCTGTTGATCTATTTTTAAATTTCTTTTTAGTGGGACAAAAAGCAAAGATATTGTTTCCTTTGACTTTCTCAAAAGTAAAAGTTTCCATAGTTGCATATATTTTGTGTCTCCTAATTTTCCATGGATTGCAGCTGTGCTACAAATACACATTAATGTGGGCTGAGCTATGAGGTTGGAAGCAGAAGACATGAGAATGAGACTGCAGATTGGGAAGGCGAAGTGGGGAGGAGAATTAAATTGAGGTTATGAGCCTTTGTAAAATTTACTTGAGAATAAATTTGAACTATGGGGAAGAGAGAAAGAGCCAGTGTGTAAAACACTTCCTCTTTTCTCCCAACAATGACATAATCTTCCTATTATTCATCTCTTGAATATCAGAAAAGCTCTACAGTTCCTTCCAATATTACTATGCTAACAAAAAGAAAAAAACATGAAATGAAAATCCACCCTCTAGAAGCCTAGTAGCTAGTTGTTCAGTGTTGTTCAAGGTCTTCTGCTGTAAGAAGGTATAACTTTTATAAAACAAGACATCTTGCAAGAGGAGAAGGTTAACATGGCATGATAAGACATTTTTCCTAGCCCAGTTGATTGGCAAAACTGGTGACCACAACAAGAATATAGAATATATCGTCTCTCTGCAGTGATGCTTAAACAGCTGCTAGCCAAAAATAACTAATGTTACTTTTCGGGGTCTTTATTAATGCATGTCATAAAAGGAGACTGAAGCCATTATCACTTTCTAACAATATTAAACTCTGTGATGATCCCAGAGTCCTTAATACATTCATTTCTTCTCTTTGTTGTTAATGGAGTTCTTATCCATGAACAAATCCATGACTGTAGCATGTATCCTGATTAATAAAGAAAGATAAATGCATAATTCATGATAGTATCATTTAGTATTAAAAAATAAGCTCATGTATCATGAAGCATGTGCTAACCCAGGTTATGTGCTACCTGAAAATTGATGAGATCAACTACCTGTAGAAAAGAACTAAGCATCCAGTTTACAACCTGGATTTAAAAAACTGTGTACTTTAATCTGAATTATACCCAGTATGAACATTTTGGAGCTCATAAGCATGTTCATTTTTCATATTTGTAATATGTATGACAACGTCTTGGTGACAATAATTGAAATTCTACACTCAACAAATTTTGCTTCATCCTGAATTTTACTTTCAATATATAGAAACTAACCTGGACAAGAGATTTAAGTTTTAAATGATCAGTGCTCTCCATTGTACAAAACTGTTCAGAACTGTAATTGTTTCGACAGTGTCTAAAATATTTGTCAGATCATTAGCTATGAGTTATTACAATTAAATCAGGAAATTCATTTTTTCCAGATGATGATTATATACATTATGGGCAACAGATTGATAAAAATAGAAATGATAAGAATAGTGATGCAAAAAATTGATGTGATTGCTGCTGTGGATGTTAGTTTTCCTGTTACTCATTTCATTTGCATGAGTAACCATGAATTATACTGATTGTAATGGATTGATAGAAGATATTTGCATTGTTCAGTTGGAATGGCAGATTAAAAGTATCTTGGAGATTTTCTTCATATTATCAGAAAACTTCCCCAGTGTGTTGACATTAGAAATGTGCAGTAGTGTTACAGCTTCCCTTCTTTGTGTGCAACTACCACCATTGCTTTTGAGCTCATCAGAAAAATTAACAAACATCCATGATAAGTAAAGCCATTCTATTGAAGCAGCAACATATAGTTCCACTTCCACAAATATTATGATCAAACAGCAATTTGTATAATATTTTGTTGAACATTTTCAAAGATTTGGGTTTTAATAATAAAAAATATAATATGTACAGAAGGTGATGTGACTGTCTTCTTTATGAGCATTCAATCTCAACTCTGCTTGAGGCAGAGAGACAAGGTTATAGCAAATTCTTCTAGGCAACGGGGAGTTAGTCACACAATGGGTCAACAAAGAAAAGAGCTATTGTTAATGTCTAATGACCTCATGCAGTTGAAAATTTACAAAGGCTAGGTAAGATGACAACTGAATTCATTGGTCAATGATTGGTGAGGAACAGGTTTGAAGATGGGACAGATATAAAAAGTGCATTACCCATAGTTACCTTCATAAGAGAAATTAACCCATACATTTACACAAAGCTTCTATTTCACTGTAATCCTCTATGTTCTTTCTTAGAAGCAACCCTCATTAAATTCAAAAGGCTTTGTGGTAATGGTCTTAATATTGTCACTTTCATAGTGGATGTGGCAGAGATCTTTACAAGGAAAGAGTGGGGAGCTGGCTAGTGACTAACTGAAAGCAATCTCTGGACTCTCCACATGTGTAAAGAACCTGGGAAAATTTATTCTATCAGCATTCAAAGTCATGATCTGAAAATAAAAATAGTTCTTTGAAGCTTCACCAGTCCAAACTAAGAACTCAAAATAGCAGTCAAAATAATGCCTAACCAAGGACATCATCTCTTCTGGATGAGTAGTTTGTTGTCCTGCGCTCTCACCAAGAGTCACAATAAACCTTCCAATCTCAGCTGTGGGGATATAAGCAGCTCCTTATAAGTCTTACTCCTTTCCTTCCACATGAGGAAGGCTTTCTAGTCTCAATAACTAGCTTTCTTTTCTACCTGGACAATATGTTGCAATGGGTGAATTCACTTATATAGGCCTGATAAGAATGATCTACTGATCTTCCTCTTCAGGTTTTTGTTTGTGATCTTCAAACCTGCCATCTCCAACAACTTTTTCCTCCAGCCCCTGCCACCTTCGTCAACAGAACAGGCTGGCACTGAATTTCCAGACACTCATACTTCTGCTGCTATGGCTTACAAGGAGCCTGGTGTTTTCCCTTCACCACAATGGAAATTATTGTCCTTAAATAGACCACATTGTGTGCAACTAAGCATCACCCCAGGTGACACTTCTCTTTCAGAGTAATCCTGTGCATGTTTACTTATAAACAATCCCCATTATATTCAGAGGACCTGCTTAATGGTAAGTGTTCTAAGACTGCCACTTTCATAGCAAAGGTATCATTCTCAAGTGGACCATATTGTGCAACTAAATATAACCCATCTCCTTCTGATTTAGAACAACGTTCACCGAATTAAGTCTGTTGTTTGATTGGATTAGATTTGAAAAATCTTTATTCCTGACCACAAGAGCAGGGGGAAAAGGTACCATACAAGAAACTTTATATGTAGAAGACTCCATTTGTCCACAGATGGGATCTCAGTGTTTGTTACAAAGAGAAAGAAAGAAGAATAAATATTAAAACATTTCAGCAAAAAAAAAAGAATCCCATAAAAAAAACTATTGTATTGTTAAATTACATTAAAGTGGGGAAATTATTTTAGATAGTTCTCCAGGTCATTTCCTGTGCAGATAGACAACTTGTATTTTCTGTACTATCAAGCAGAGATACTTCTATTTCTGGTATGGGGTGCAATTCAAGGTGTGGTTAATTCCTGACATGGCTTGGAACTGGAGTACCTGAGGGATCTCCTTTTCCCAAGCCTTTATCCATCCAACTAGATCTAGCAGGATGGGCATGCTCCAGATCTCATCAGCCAAAGACTATCTGCTGGTGGGGGTCTAGAAGATGGGCTTTTTTCCACAGTGGCTCCTGATTTATGGAACATCATCCTTTTAGAGATTAGAACAGTGGTTCTCAACCTTCCTAATGCTGGGACCCTTTAATACAGTTCCTCATGTTGTGGTGACCCCCAACCATAAAATTATTTCTAAGACCATTGAAAATATGTGTTTTCCGATGGTCTTAGGCAACCCCTCTGAAAGGGTCGTTCGACCCCCAAAGGGGTCGCGACCCACAGGTTGAGAACCACTGGATTAGAATAACCCCAATCCTGGTAGCCTTTCAGAAGGCCCTAAAAACTTGATATGTTCCTGAACCTGGGATGATGAATATATCAAGAACCCCATTTCTATTGTCAAGAACTGTATTGCTAACTGGCCAAGTATCTTGGCTCCTAGGTACAGTATGTTTATTTTGGATGTTTCTATTCTTTTTATTGTTTTAAAATGTTTTTATTATTTTGATTGTTATATATATAAATTGTAAGATGCCCAGAGTCATTGACCCATTCAATAGAAATTGAATGAATGAATGAATGAATGAATGAATGAATGAATGAATGAATGAATGAATCCTTTTTGTTAGTACTTTTAAAGGACTTCCTTTGGCAGAAATAATAAGTTCTAAAAGTCTTCCTATCCTTGCTTTTGAAATCCCCCCCTCCCAATATTTCTCCTTGCCAGACTATCTCAGATATATTCTTAGGTGCATGGCACATTCAAGATGTTACTGCAGACTTTCAATAATAGATGAATCACAGAGACTGTGAAGGACAGTTCAAATCGTTTAGCTTCCTTTCTGTTTTCTTTGGAAGCTGTGATTACATTCAGTGTGTTACAATACTGAATGTACTACAATTACAATACAATACAGTGTGTTTGGATACTGAATGGGTATCCAAAATTTTTGTTCCTGGTTTCTTAATATGACTCTGTTATCAACTGCACATCAATAAGTGTTCATTCACATTTGCAGAAAGATATTGTGTTTAATTTTATACCATATAGAGATTGGAAGGGTGTTTTTTTTTCCCCTTTAAATTTAGGGATTCACAGAATGATAGGTTAGGATTTTACAAAGGGTACCAATGTTTGTAATTGCCTTCCTGTTCACTACAGATGAGATACGTTTCTAATTTTTTTTTAATTTTTAATAGTGGCATACAAACAACTACAAGTTCAACAGCAAAGCTACAGTAGGGATTATTCACTGAAATGCAAATCTACATATATTGGTGGCAGTGGTGAAATCTAAAATTTGTTACTACCGGTTCTGTGGGCATGGCTTGGTGTGGGGGGTAATGTGACTGGGTGGACATGGCCAATTTTTTTTTTTTTTTACTTTTAAAACCATTTTTTCTACAACCTCTTCGGCGAAGAGGTTGTAAAAAATGCTTTCAAAAGGCTCTGACGATCCCAGCTGAGTTGCCTGATCAGCAGAGACTTTTTTTCTTTTAAATGCCTCTGACGATCAGGCAACTCAGCTTGGATCATCAGAGG